CACAGATAGCCCACTGTGTAGCTTTGTGCTTAACTTCAAATAAACAAACTATAGTTGATTCATCGGTAATGTTTTTGTAGTTTCAAACTAATAATATTTCTAGATGTCTGTAAATGAAACATAATTAACACGTTCATGAAAGACAAAAATACCTCTGTTTGATTTCCACAAACAACAGATATAATAATTCATGGAAATAAAATAAGTTTGGAAAAGTTACTATTTTGGTGGAGGCAGGAAAAAGAATGCATTATTTTTGTTTAGAGTGAAGTAACTAAAGTTTTGATGTTAGTGGGTTTAGTAACCACACAGTGTTAGATCTTTTTAAAGGTTATTGCGTAGCATATAGGTTCACACCAGCTACATTCCAAAGGTATAACGCCTAAAGTAACGTCGTTTCTGGGCTGAAACGTGCCAGGATTACGGAATTTCTGTCATCTGTTTAGCGGAAATCACTGTGGAAATTTGGGAAAATGCGATTTTCTGTACTTAAAATGCCAGTTAAAATAATCTACATTCTAAGTCTTTGGCCAATATACTTGTTTACCAAACACCACAAAAAGTCGATTGATGACGTAATACAAAATACGATGACTCAACTACGTACAGTCAGCATTATGTAATTTTAACTTATTCGTACAAAAAAAAAAGCTGAAAACAGTAGTGTCTTGCAAAAATCCATTTTCAGTAAATTAAAGAGAAACGTGTTATATAAGGATTAAACATACGCCCTTTTAACATTGCGAGAATACTGGAGTACCGGCATTAAGTAAAATCCGTTTCAGAACATCAGTATGTTACCACATAAAGAATACAGTAACTTCGAATTGTTTATACCATTATACTTTTTTTGTTTATTATTCATCAAAGTAACTGTTGAAAGTATTCCAAATCGTTTTTACAGATTTCGTCACAGCAAGACTCCCGCTATCTTCCAACACATCCACTGTCTGGATCTAAACATTTGTGTTCAATATGTGGAGATCGAGCGTCTGGAAAACACTATGGCGTTTATAGGTGTGTATCCGCTTAGATACTTTGAGATTTAAGGTTATTTTTCTTGTGTTATGTATCCTTTTGGAAGATATTACATTCACACTGTAAAACGTATCTGGGCACGTGTCACTCGTGAAGTAGGGTAGAAATGTGTGATTAGTAAACTGATCACATGGCTAATACAGTGATATGAGGGGGCTTCACCTGTTGATTTAAATGGTGTAGGGGTAAATAGATCTTGTACGTTTTGGAAAGTGGTAGCAAAATGTACATTTGTAACCTGTTGCTAAATGCTTTGTTTATCTTAGCTAGGCTATTACATCTATGTTTTTATTTCTAGTATATTATAACAACGTATTTTATACTTTTGTCTTATTTGTTTTTGTTTTTTATAAATTTTCTTGGAACGTAGTGGATGACAAAGCATTTTAATTTTCAATGATTCTGCAAATAACCGCTTGTAAATTTATGTAGGGTTTTAAATGTTTAGGTAAAAAGTTTCTAGTGACTGCATACTTCACTGAACTTACAGAATACATTAAAGATACTGAAGTTGGTAATTAGAATGTTAACTTTCTTTGAATAACTGAATGGACAGTGGCATTTGGTGTTATAGGCACTAGCTTATACGAACACTATAGTTTTGAAAACCTTTTAATTACCCTTCTCACCTTCTGTGTCTTTAAAGTTAGTATTTATCAAATAACTATTGAGACATTACATAAAAGTTTAAATAGTATATTTAAAAAAAACAAAATACAACAACATCTTTTATCACTTCTTGGAAGTGAAAGATCTCTGTAAAACTGAAACTTCTTGGAAGTGAAAGATCTTTGTAAAACTGAAACTAAATATTTTATTAGAAGTGGGAAATTGTAGGTGGTAACAACAAAAATAAGACAATAATTTTCCTTCTTTGTGTCCTGTAGTTCAACCCTAAATTCTGGGAAGAAAAAACGTTTCAAAATTATTTATTTCAATGTTTAGAACAAAATCTTCTATAAACCAAAGCAAAGACCCGCTTTCTTTGAGTATACAGTGTGAAAGACAAAATGTGCTGATCAGTAAAAGTCGATGTAGAAACAAAAGTTAGTGAAATACAGAAGGAAACATCCACAAATTGTGTTTGGACCGGCATGGCCAGACTCGCAATATGAGGGTCGCGGGTTCGAATCCCCGTCACACCAAACATGCTCGCCCTTTCAGCCGTGGGGGCGTTATAATGTGGACGGTCAATCCCACTATTCGTTGGTAAAAGAGTAGCCCAAGAGTTGGCGGTGGGTGGTGATGACTAGCTCCCTCTAGTCTTACACTGCTAAATTAGGGACGGCTAGCGCAGATAGCCCTCGTGTAGCTTTACGCGAAATTCAAAACAAACCAAACCACACATTGTGTATTTATTGAAAAAGCATTTACTTTTTCATAAAATACATAAAAACTTTTCTTAATTTACTTGTATTTAAATTTTTATTATCAGTTATTTTGCGAATATTTAACGCTAAAAAATAATAAACTTTTATCACTTAGCTGTAAGTTACGCATGTAATACAAGGTTGTTTTATCATATTTGAAAAGTACGTAGGTTTACTATGCACAAAATGACAATCCACACGGTTGCACAGAGTAAAACTTTGGTTTATCTTATTTAATTAAAAGTTACAGCTTTTACAGTAAGGAAGAATATTTTTAAAACAGGTACAACGTTTTCACTCCTGGTGTGTTTATTGTTTATTTTGTTTGTTGAATTTCACGCAAAGCTACACGAGGACTATCTGCGCTCACCGTCCCTAATTGTCAAGTTATAGACTAGAGGGGAATTTACCAAACGACTTGCACAGTTTTACTTTCCTAACGGTAAATTATGGGAGTTTATGGATAGTCAACACCATTCACCGCTAACTCTTGGGCTACACTAGTTGATTAGTGGGATTTGATAATCACTCCTATAATGCACTTACGGCTCTGGAGTGTGAAGCATGATTTTATATTTTTAGCGGTAACGGGGCTCGAACCACGGAAACTGATCCACAGTCATGCACACTAACTACTAGCCTTCGATTGACTCTGTTGAAACTGAAGATGACTCCTACCATAGTTGCTCAAACTCAGCCAACCTGAGTAATGTTTGCATATTTTTTCTTTTTAATTAACCTTGCCATAGTATTGTTAGACATGAAATTAATCCAGAATTTTTGAATGCACATTATCCTTATTCAGATAAAAAATTTTTGACCACATGTTTCTCAATTGTCATAAGTCAATATTATTAGACTTACTGTATTTTTCTAACACTAAACCGATGTAGAATGGTTGATCTATTATGGCATATTATCCTTTGCTTTCTCTCACGTAGTTTTTTCCCGTTGACGCTGTGGTTGCTTGATCCGCTCCGGGAACAAGAAAACTAGCTTGCTGGTTTCGTCAGTTCTTGTGAATAATAGCAAAAGATAATTAAAAAAAAGAAATATGATTTAAAGAAGGAAATAATAAGTTTTAGAAATAAATAAATAATTTTGTGTTATTACTCTTACCCAAAAAACTTTATTTGTAAATGATTTAGAACTGATAATTAGCAGAATTCGCTTCATTGATCTGGTTCACGCCATAACAGTTTTCAAAAAACTAATGATGTATATAGTGCCTAGATCACTACTATGCGTGACACGTCACATACTAAGCCTGATGAATCCTTGTATTTGGCGAAATCGCTTCGTCGGCACTCGATATAACGGATGTGGTGTGGTTGACGCGTTATAACGTTTTCACCTTTTCTTTCACTCATGGTTTTTAGAACACTACATAAAATTCTCCGTATGTAAGATTAAACTAGACTCAGAGCTACATATACACAATATAATGAATTTGTTCAACTCACCGTAAAAAAACAACGAATGCCAGTCAGGTTATATCCATGAGCTTTTACTGTGCAGCTACCGTTAGGCTTAAACAGATACCACATCTTTTAAAGCATTTTTTATTAGATATTTTCTGATTCTTCTTAGCTTTGCCTATGGTGATGTTGTTAAAGTAGAGTTTGAATCAGTAATTAATAATAATGTATGAATGTATAAACAGTTAAGTCTGGTGAGACTTACTATACCAAGACTCGAGTTATGTCACTAGTTTACCACCATTTTGTTTGCGATTCTACAACAAAATAATTTGAGGCGATAACATATACAGCTGTATACGAACATTTAGAACATTACAAAATGAAACTGATTTTTAACATAATTGTTTCTTGTACTTTAACTTCTGTAGGATTATATAATTTTCCCATCTTACATATATTGAAAGTTTATATTGGCATACTAGAAAGCTTTAACCAAACTCTGTCATCTTTCTAAATAATTTTTTCCCATTTTGCTGCCACGTGTAGCGACATGAAATGATAGGGAAACGTGATAATGTTCATTTTGTATATTCAATGCACACCTTATGCTATTTTAGTGTTTATCTCTATGAAAGTGGTAATTGAGCGGCGCAATAAATAACCTACGTGATGCTAATATTTTTTAGTCTTTGTAGTTTCACTGAGAAGTAGTAGGTGCGGTCTTTTAACAGCCCATTAAAGGCCTTTTACGGGTTCCTTTGTGTATGATTTTGAAACTTATAAGCCCTTTTTAAAATAAAAAGTAGTATAGCTGATCAACAAACATTCGTAACTTTCATTTATGTTCTGCTAGTGTTTTGTGACGTATACGTTATTATTAAAGTGGTTTATTTAAATGTGTCGTGTAGTACAAAATCTTGTATAACTCTTACATGTAGAGCTGTTGATAAGGCATCGTTAGTTTTGTCATGATACAATCAGTCTTTCAACTTCTTTTAAGATCGTTTTCTAGTTCACACAGTCATAAATGCTAGCATTGACAATTCTTATATACATGAAAGCCCAAGACCTAAGTTAAAGACTGCCCATGCCGTAATTTAGGTCAAGGAAATCTCACTTTTGTATCTAGATAGCTAATGAATTAAAAAAACAACAAAAAAAAACAAATGTGGTAAGGTGAACTCACTTGCCTCTGTGTTTTAGTCAGCATCAAGGGTAAAACGATCGCTCATTCTTTTCAGTGTAGTGGGAAGGGTTGCCAATACTTTTGTAAGTAAATGTAAAAACTATCCAATTCAAGAAAATGATGAATTATGGGACGCACACTTGTTAAAAAAAAGAATTCAATACAGGTTTGTATCTATTCAAAAGAATTCAAAACATAAAAGTATATGTTAATTAGTTTTTTTTTTTTTGTCAAGACAACAGTCTTGTGAGATGCTCTTACAATTGCATAAAAAGAGAACAAGATGTATAACAGTGCTTATAAATGAGATTTTTACACACGTGGTTAGGGTCAGTCAAGCTAACTACAGTCTACAAGGAGGGCCAGGTTTAGACCTTTTGAGGCTCTAATGCTGTACTGTGATGCTAGAGACCCCATGCAATTGCATGGGTTGCACTTGCATCCCCTCTAAATTCAGCACTGTTTATACCCCCAGGGAATCATAGAAGAATACTTGTCACAGTAGGGTAGAATTACTAAATTTTACTAAAAGTGAACCTAAACAGATGATAAAGACATGGACTTTATTGACCAATAATTTGCAACTGTTTGCTAATATTTGATGCAAACATCAAATAACTATCAAGTTATTAATTAACAAGTACATATAACTTAGCTTGTTAAACTCTTACTTTTGTTGTTGTTGCCCTGTAATTGAATTACTATTAAGTAAGTGTTTACCAGCCTTTATGATTTATAGTTGAGTTAAAAAGACTTTTGATAAAGTATTATGATTCTCAGATAACACTATGAAAATACTTTACATTCTATCTCAGTATGCAATATTCTCCCATCAGAGTCATGTGACATGTTAATTTGCCTTAAAATTTAACGTTTAGGAGATCATGTATGGTGTGAAAAGTTCACTTTATCACTTGTTATATTCTGATTGACATTTTCTAGTAATGCCATAATAGCATTTTTGACCAGTTGCGCTGGGCAAAGTTTTACAGCTTAACAAATACGGCAAAACACTTCCTTTAATTCTAGCATTCACTTGAACATGAGTTACAATAATAACATTGTCATCTAGAGGGTACTGCCTTAAAATATTCATTCAGAACCATGGTAAAACACAACTGTGATATTTTAATGTCAAGTTATTGAATCTTAACACAATACATGAGGGGTGTATTACAATTTTGAATATAGTAATAATCATATGTTAATTTACATCTTATTAGAGCTTTTTAAAGGGACTCAATATCAGAACTGTTTACAGTTTTGTTACATGACTTAGATCCAGTAAATGCAAAATGCTTTATTCAGGTTAGGTTAGTTGTTTAAATCAAAAATGTTTGAAAACTATTCAAGATCACTAAGTTTGATCATTGAGAGAATACTAGAGTTACCAAACATGACACCTTCGTTGGACATAAGTCAATGTAAATTCAATATATGAATAGGAAGACTGTAATAATAGGAAGTCTGTAATAATGGCCATAACATATACATTCAATTTGATCTGTTATTATTATTATTATTGGGGTTTGTTTCTAAATTACTTAATAGTTCAAAAAAGCCATTAACCAAAATAACTCATAATGTGGATGGTGGTTAAAATAATTTTGTTTCAAACAAATTATTTCCAAAATATTCCTGTTCTATCCTCTTGCCATGACAAAATTACACTCAAACCAATAATTAAGCTGTTTAATAATGCTGGCTTGAATGGGTAATGAATAAAAACTTTAATATAAGTTTAACATAACAGCAAATGTACAACGTTTCAAGAAGGTTTTGTCATCATCAGGTACCTTCAACTTCAAATTCCATTCAGTGTACATTAATTCATTTTGTTAGCATAAGTTATGAATCATAATAATTGATAAAAATATTTTAGTAAGTATCTAATGTGTGAACTTTAAAAGATTTAGAGTAGAAACTGTGAAATTTATCTTTGTACAATAAAATATACTCTACTGATATATTAGATCTTTCTTTTTTAATTTGTGGTAGGTAGTTAGGTTTTAGAAACTAGGGGCACTCAGAAATAGATAATTTATTTTCACCCATTTAGATCAACTGTTGTTTAACAATGTGAGTAAGTAGTCGCATGATGAAATAGGAATGGGTTCTAGAGGTGTACGTAACTCATAAGTACATAATTGCTAGATTTAAATTCAGCCGAAAGTCCAATTCAAGTTTATAATATCTAGATTACATAAACTAGAAATGTCAAGTTGATAGTGTAAGAGGTGTACATAAAAAAAATTGAATTATATTTTTGGTTGGTTATTCACATCATATTAGAACCAACAAATACATCAAAATGGGTGATGAAGAACCAGAAATTAATTCTCTAAATAGTCCACATTAAGATTAACTCTTTCCCTCCATTGTTTCACTGAGTTTTGGGGCCTGGCATGGTCTGGAGATTAGGGTACTTGACTCTCAATCTATGGGTCATGAGCTCAAATCCCATCACCAAACATTCTCTTTCAGTTATGTGTGTGTGGGTGTTATATTGTGATGGTCAATCCCTTTTTTCATTGGTAAAAGAGTAGCCCAACAGTTAGTGGTAGGTGGTGTTGACAAGCTGCCTTTCCTCTAGTCTATCACTTCTAAACTAGGGACAGATAGCCCTCAAGTAACTTTGTTTGAAATTCAACACAGAAACACTGAGTTTTATCATTGAAGTTTGGTAAAATATAGATGTAGTTTATGAATTAAACTGCTTACAGATGATATAAGAACATCAGCTGTCTAGAACTAATGTTCACATAGATCATCTTAGAAAAGTTAAAAAGGTGGAAGTCACATGGTTACTAGGTCAGAACTGTAAATGGAATAAGAAAGAACTAATTATCTAACTTCTTCATTACAACTGTTACACGATGAACTATATGGGGCTTAGCATTAACATGCTACTGAGGAACATTTTCTAACAGCAAACAAATGTATTTTTTTTCACAATCATCTGTAAACCACAGTTTACTGATATTCAGCATTTTGGGAATGAAAATCCTATTTCTTTGTGAAAGCGATTCATATTTTTATTAAAATTCACTTATTAGAAAATCTAAAACAAAAACATGAATGCACAAAATTTTTTATTTTTTTTCAGTGCATGGATTGTTGTTCTTTCAAATAATGTTATAAAATATGGAATGAATTTATTTGCTTGGTAAAAGCAGGTGAGAAGTAAGCTTCATAAAAGCAGCAATATGGCAAAGGAAAAGCAAATGTATTATTGATTACTAAAGATAATCAAATAATGCACACTAAGAATACTTTTGTGCATTTGGCTTTCAACTTGTGTATTTGTTTGGAGTGAACAGATTCCTCCCACAGCCTGTTTCAGAAATTTATGAACTTCATATTTTAGTGAAGATATGATATAATTAAATGTCCAACTCAATTCTGTACACTCCACAGATAGAAAATTTATCAAACTGTTTGGTTAATGCATTAGTTATCTGAAAAAAAAAATACAATTTTGAATACTATTAGTCTTACTCACTTATTGGTGGACCCGCCTTTCACAATGGAAAGGGACAATCAAGGGTGTCACCAGGGGTGTGTGTGGGCTTGTGTTAATGAATCCTCTTTTGCCTTGGACCACAAACAAACATGACTTTTCAATTAAATCTATATCAAAATGCCACCTATAGGCCAAATATTTAAAACTAATTAGCAAGATTTATCATCAAAGATATATTTTAAAGAAACATACAATATATTTTAAATTTTAAAACGTGAAGAAATAATTTACAAAATACAAATATGACATTCTTCCATATAACAATGATTAGATGATGCCTATTTGTGTTAACACAATTTTTAGATATTCAATTGAGATATTTCTCTCTTATTGCCATTAACTACTAAATTAATTTAACATCAAACTTCATATATTAACTCTTTTTTTTTGCTTATTTATAATATTTTTAAACCACAGAAACCTGTGAAAAAAAAACTGTTCAAAAGATATTTTACTTAATGACCAGGATGCATGCAATTTTTAAAAGTTTCAAATAGCCCAACTTTTACTCTATGAAATTGTAAGAATCTAAACTTACAAAAATTTTGCATAAATAAATAAATATAAAAACGAGAAACAACAAATTATGATGTCTATTTTATATATACATCTTACACACACTTTATATATATTTACTGAATCATTATTTATGTTTATACAATCTTTTTCTGGAACATATTCAATACCAGATAAAAAAATCAAAATAGTTTTGACATAAATAAGTCACTACATGTGAAATAAAAAAATATGTTTTTAAAATAATGAATTGCACTTCATGGGCAAAAATTATAATGTTTTTAATTAATTAATGAGACCAGTAAACTTCATTTAAGAAGAAAGAAGAAAATACATTACTTTTAAAAACTTTAAATGTAAAATAAAGAACTTTGACTACATCCTTCAGTTTTATTTCATGTACTTGTACATTAAAAACAGAGAACTGGTTAAACCATAATAGCCACAAATAAACTCTTTATTACTGTGAAGAAACCCATGCTTAAAAATTAATTTCATAATCCAAAACCAAAAATTTGGAAGTCTTTAGCATTGGTTGGTTTTGTGATGTTCGTGAAGGAAGAGCACCAAACACAATAACTTCCTACTCAGGATTGTCTTTAAATGAAATATTGTATTGTGAAATTTGAGCAAATGATTATATGATGCTGATAATTGTACCAGTTCAAATTGTAATATATTTTTTTGTTAGTTACAAGTATATTTGATTTAATGATGCAAATATGAAATAGAAATAAATACTATTGCTTGTTTTTAGTGGATTTGTTTCCTTTTTGTACTTATATTTCTATTATCAGCAAACTTATGTTTTGAATTTTTGTGGGGAAATCATTCATTCTGTGGTTTGGAGGTTGACAAATGAAATAGAACTAACACAAATAATCATCTTTTAAACATAAATATGTGCTGAGTTGGTGATATTACTAAAATAGGTAGAAATAGTGCTATCTGTTAACTTCACAGTGCTTTTAATATCACTTACTCTTTGTATTGGTGGAAGAAAAAATTTTAGATATAGCCTAGACTGATGCTGTTAACCACAGTTTAACCCAGGTAAATGAGCCTCCTCACAAATAATCCTATTTTTGTAACATTATTCCTTCCATAAAAACTGGTAAAAAAGCTAGTAGAAAAAGGATGGATCAACTTGTCCAAATGAAACAAAATCAGTATTTGTCTGTTTTACAGTTGTGAAGGATGTAAGGGATTCTTCAAACGCACTGTACGAAAGGATCTGACCTATGCTTGCAGAGAAGATCGAGAATGCATTATTGACAAGCGTCAGAGAAACAGGTGTCAATACTGTCGCTACCAGAAATGTCTGGTTATGGGAATGAAACGAGAAGGTATGGTAAAAATTTTAACTTCACAATTCAGTGACCTACAAGAAAGAAACAACTGACTTTGGTACTGATCATGCAATCGTCTAAGTATAGATAAATGTCAAATTAGAGAACGACATTCCCTGTAGGGCCAAAATAAGAAAAAGATAAAACTTGTTAAGTCAGGTTTATCTGCAAATGATGGTGTTTATAAAATGTACTTTGTATCATATGATCCATCTTAGATTTATTAGATAGGTCACTTTTTAAAATTCAAACAAATGTAGAGTATTTTTACAATCTGATAAAATTCATAAGAGAAATATAGTGTGGGTTAATGTTTTTTACATAATTTTTGCAAGAACAGTTAGTGGTTTGCTGTTATTAGGCTTATGTTATGTACTTCTTTTCATTCTTTTGTATTCAGAACTTTAATATTTTTTTCATTACAAAAAAGTTTTGAGGTTGTATATATAGCTTTCAAGCACTGGTATTTCTCTTTACCTTGGTGTAATATTGTTATGACAGTGGGGATCACGTGATGCCAGTAACACATCATATTCTTGAATGTTCACGTCCTTTCCTGAAGCCTCGATAGATTACTAGATATGCGGTATTCTTGTATATATAAGCCGCCAGGAAGTGACGGCAACAATGTGTAATTGAACTGCAGACAGAGATAGATACGGACAGTTGAGTTGAGCACGTGAGACATCCATTGTGAATTATAGCATTTGTTATAGCATGACTGTGGGAATTAAGTGTATTGCAAAGTTGTATTGAGAAAGAATAAACCAGTTTTATTTAAGAAAGGACTTGTATCGCTGAAGTTTCTTCAGAAAGAATTTTTTACAGAAAATTAACTAACGACCAGAGACGTAACAATATAAAACATCTTATATGTTTAGTAACAAAATGTATATCATGAATAGCTGAGAATTGTAAATTTAATGTAAAACCATTGATGAGGATTTTCAAATGATTTTTTCCAAACTATTTAAGCACCATATTGCTTGTTGATCAATGATTTTGTTTGTTAATAATCCCTTATAACACATGAGCAATACAAACAAATTTAAACAAAATTATCATCAACAGTGAGGGCTAAATATTTTTCTCAGTAAGTGGCCAAAAGGTATGGGAATAAGTTTGAGATTCTGAAAGTGCAGGAAAAATATATGGCCATCAAAAAGGGGAATGAAAAGAAGAATTAAAAAGAAAGAAAAGCAAAGATACAAAAAGAAGAATTGGGAAGAGAAAAGGATATTGATTATTGGGTTTTCTCATTGAAGTTGTACCACAAAAGTGCTGTTGTCAACCAGTCAGATATGAAAGAGATTTAGGAGCCTCAGTTAAAGACATGGGAGAAATACTTTATTTTTTAGAAGAATATTTATCTATGTTTGTTTTGCAATTAATTATGCTAATTACTGCTAGTGTTTACTATGTATTTTAATTAGAAAATGAGTGATTTCACCTAATTTTTTGAATTAATCAGTTTTTTACACCAATGCTATAACAGACAAAAATAAAAATAATTCTAAATAAGATGCAATATGCTAACCTTACCAGTATTGAGCAGTATGTAAGAAAGCTGTAATTTAAGGGTTAAATAATATGAGCTGCCATTAGCAAAGCCAGTTTGATTATAGAGAATGTCATGTAATGGAGCCTGTGCCTTTGGTTATAAAATGTTATTATGGCTTCCTGGTTAGAAACAACTTACTTTAGAAAGTTTTAAGTTCTTCCATTTGAAGTGTGAAAATTGAAGTGAGGAAAGGGAAAATTCGTTTGCAAAAAAGAAGGTATAAGCTTATAAAGAACTGTGTAATATAAATAACTGATATCACCAAAATTGGAAAACTTTAGGAAGTGTTTTGTTTAATGTACTTGAAACAAGTATAAAAGGATGCTTATTGCCATATTTTATAGCCTTTCTTATTTTCTCATTGACACTGATATCAATAGGATTAGGTAGATTAGTTACACTGGCAAGAGAAAGAGGCTTATTTTTATGGGAGAATTTAATTATTTGTTTTTAGGTAAATCAACTATGTAAATATTTCTTCTTCATATTAGGTTGAAGAATTGTTTTGAGTTTGTGGAGCATTGTTTTTTCATTCAGCATGTGAAAGATCCTACCTTTGAAGATGTTATTTTAAACCTTGTTCTTAGTTCTGAAGAAGATATGGTTTGAAATGAAGTTGTATAAGTGCATTTGAGTATTGTTGATCATAACACCAGTAGTTTTTTGTTCTTGCTTGTATTACTATCAGTTATAGAATCAATTTTGAGTTGACATTCCATTTCTAGGAAAGCTGACTTTTCAGAACCTCCATAAAAGTATGAGAGAGAAAAATTAGTTGACTAATCTAAATGGCATTCATACTTATGAAACTTGGAATGTTCTTAGTAGTTCATTTAAGCTCACTGAAAATGAGTGTATTCATACTAAATTCTTGTACTCCAACTGAAAGTCATCCATCCATAAATTAATGAACAGGGCATTTATGATAGATGAAATATACCAAAGTTAAAATTGAGGATGCTGAAATTGATCTGATTAAACAGAAAAGTCAAGAAAGCTGTTGTTAATTCACCAAATTGAACTTGCATTAACTACAAAAAGAGAGTCAAGGATAATACTGGTCTTTCAAAAGGTTATAAGTGGAACTTTATCATGGAGAAAAGGAATGATCATGAAGTGCTCACCAATTTTTCTATAGCTTCTACTAAAGAAGGAGAAGGTCTTTCTTTAAATCTTACTTCTGTAGAAACAAAAACTGTTAAGAACTCTTGGGAAACTTTTGATAGAAAAGCTTGTAACCCTGACAAAATTTATCTTAATACTTAAAGAAGCTTGGAAAATAAGTCATTGGGAACTTTAATTGTTATTTATTCTGAAGTTTATTGACACAGAGAAAACTTCTGATAATTGAAAGATTACTAAGTGTGATTCATATGCTTCAAAAAGAAAATGTTGAGGAAGAAATAGGGGTATTCAAAACCTGTTATTTTAAAAGTGTTGAGAGAGGTGGGGAAAAAAGTTATGAAGTGTATACAAAATTGGCATTGTGGTAGTAAGCAAAGAATGAAGATAAATCAGTGTTTTTCACTTTGAAATAGACGCACAATTCTCAAAAAGGGGTGACATCAAAATTGTAATTTTTCTACATAATGTAAAGTATAGAGACAAATCTTTTATCACTTCTTTGGATTTATACCAAATTCATAATGTCATATGCAAAGACTGCTATCAGGCTAGATTGGGATGTGGAAGGATGTTTCTCATATAATAAGAGACTGCAGAATTCAAAATATTAAGAACAATTTCATGTATTGTTTATTATGTATCTTAGAGAATTGTGTAGATTGTATGGGTAAAAACATGTAAAAGTTCACTGACTGTGTTAAGATGTTGGTAAGGTTTGCTTCTTTCTCAACAAATCTTCAGAGTTTCAGTTGCTTAGAACACAGGAAATGAGTTTCAATGTGGGAAAGGTTAAAGTTATACATTTGATGTATAGTATTTTGGATACGGCTTACATTTTATATAATATGAGAATTAGTTGTCACAAAAAAGAAAAAAATTAAATGTGCTTGTTGATTAAGCCCTTTAACCTTCTGATGATTATTCAGCTGTGATGAAAAGATCAAACAGAATTCTTGAGTTCTCTTCAAAAGGAATTTTTAATTTAGGATTAAAGGTGTTACTGTAACCACAGAACAAGATATCCAATAACCTGATCACTTATGGAAGGTAAACTTTGTTTCTTCAGGGGTGAACTGAGAATTTGCAATTTACCCATGAAGAAGGGAGAACTTCCTTAATTGTGAAAATGCTCAAGTTATCAGGTTTATTATTTTGTGGCTCATTTGATTTTTTTATCCTACATGGTATTTTACTGTTGTGCATGTTATTGTAAGGATGTATAAAACATTAGTGAAGCCTCATTTGGAATGTTTTGTTCAATTTTGATCCTCTTAATAGAGGAAGAACAACATCATGTAAAGAGTACAGAAACAGAGTAGTAGAATATTCCTGGTTTAAGAAACTTGAGGTGAAGGAGAAAGCTTAAAGTTTAGAATTGTTTTCTGTGGAGTTTAGAATAATTAAGATGACTTGATTCAGGTGTTTAAGATTGTTAAGAGTTTAAATCTTTTTATTATGAGTGATCAACTTAGTTAATCTTTGGAACTCCATATGTAGATTATCATTTGACAGAATATTCTTTTTGGTAAGCATTAATACTTATGGGATTATTTGCCAAATGGTGTGGGATATTCTATTCCATTGAATGTTTTAATTGTTTGTTTAGTATATATATATATTTATATGAAGAGCTAAATTTAATTTGGTCTTCATGGTTTAATAAATGAGGAGTCTGAATGACCTTTCACTTTGCCTTTTCATATGTCCATATGACATTGTCCAGACTTGCAGTTTTTAGTCTATTATGTTATGTTTTTTGCAATATGTGCTTCCTGCTAAAACACTGTGTTTTGCCCCCAAATAATTAGTTGTTATGTGGTGTGAATTACAGATACGATACACTCAAGACCAATAAAGCACATGCACAGAATATGATGTGCAGTTTATCAGCTTATATATCCTACAGTGATTACAACAAGAATTTCCCAGAGTAATAAGATTGCACTTTGAATCTGTGAAAATGTTTATTACAGTATACGGTTCAGAGCTGATCCAATAAATATTGCGAGTGTTTGAATATTGATCATCCTTCTGGGATGTTTGGAATTTAGTGGTATACAGCACAGACATACAAGATAACTGCCTACTTTATCAAGTTCCCGTATAGAGAACAGGACTGAAGACAATTGCTTTTAATCTGGAATATCAAAATTCCCGTTATTGCAAGACTTATTTTGGTTACAAATAGTAGAAAAAGAAAGACTGAAAAGTCAGCCTTTAATGGTGCAGTGCTCGTTTTTGCGAGATACCTGTTAATTCAGGTTCTACTGTATTTAATTCTACCTTGTATCTGTGTTTTTTTTTCAAGGCAACAGTTTGTGCTAATTTGTTCAAACATCTAAAAGTGTGCTGGATTTATACAAATTACATAACATTTACAGATTTAGTGTGGCTTACTTTTTACGAGAAATAAATTTAATGCAATTTTTTCCTTGAAAATGTCACTGTTACTGTCCTTTGTGATAATTATAAAAAAGTTGTGTAAATTTAATTTTTATTCCATAGTTCCATAGGATAATAATGTCACTTTTTTTTACCCAGTTGTGTGATCCCAGGATATAAATGTTTGATTGCTCATACTTTTGGAATGAAGTAAAAAAAAATGATTTACTCTTGTTGTGTTCCTTGTAAATACTGACTACTAAAAGCAGATAATAAGTTTCATCAAAAGCTCTTTGTTATTCCTTTCCTTGCCAAAAAGCGGTTCAAGATGAACGACACCGTATGAAAGATAGAAATGAGAATGAAGTAGAGAGTACTTGCAGCTCTTCTTGTGACATTGCTAAAGAAAGAATATTAGAAGCCGAACTTCGAGTGGAAGCCAAGAACGAAGAGCTAGACATGAATGTAAGTGCAGTGTTTTCTTATTTATTATGCAGTACATTTGTTTTTAGCACATAATGCCTAATTATTGGTCCTTATACAAAACACTTTACCCCAATTTGCTGGGGTTTAACCTGCAATGGACTGGCATCAGCTTGTGTCACTGGTCCAGAGTTAAGCACTAGCCCTATGAGCATTTCAGTACAAAAGGATGAATTTTTTAACCTCTGTTTTTTTTTGCACTAAAGCTTATCCACCAGATGCTTCAGTCAATATTCAGTCATCAAGCATCTTGGAAACATGAGAAGATAAAATAAAAAATAGAAACCCAAACTATGATATCATAATTCATGATAATTAGTTTTCTATATCTGGTATTTATCATCTCTTAATTCATAGAAAAACTAAATTATGACAAATAGAAAATCTGTAAATACATATTCACATGTCAATGACTTTTTTTCTGTCCTCAACACTTTTTGTTCATACAATTTGAAATGTTTTATAAATTAACATTATTTTAATCTTTGGTATCATATTTCTTCCAATGGTATTAGCATGGATATCAAAAACAACTTATCTAACAACAGTTTCTTTTTGGTATTTCTTGTAAATGACAGTAAACAAAATATGAATGATGTTTGTTTGTGCTTATATTGGAAATAAACTGATTTATTTTTATTTTAGAAAGAGCCGGTAGCTAACATTTGTAAAGCAGCTGATAGACAGTTGCATCAGTTAGTGGAGTGGGCAAAACATATTCCACATTTTACTGAATTACCTCTAGAAGATCAGATGGTACTTCTTAAGGCTGGTAAGTAGGTTTAGAAGGATTGGTAGTGCAACTTAAGATGACTAAGTTTATTATATATATCAAATGGTAATATTTAAGACTAGTAAGTACAGAAGATCAACTCTGGTATTCTTAAAGCTTATAAATGCATCTAGACTTTGGAAGATGAAAACATGCTCTCTCTCTCGCTCTGAAAAAGCTGCAAAAATTGTGCCTGAAAGCTTTTGAATGAAAAAAACAATAACAATGTAATATTAAAAAAAAATCCTTCTGTGGTAATATAAATGTATCAAAATGTTCCCTACAATGGAGAGATTCCTCTGGAAGATCTAATGGTGCTGCTTAATAATGAGAAATGAATCTAAAACAGTGGTTGGCAACCTTTTTTGATGTTTTTTTTTTTTGAAAAATGTATCATTGTGTTGGGTCAGTAATAATCATATAATTCTTAATACCGGTACATGTATTTAAATGTGTAAGTTTATTTACATACAACAAACATTGATTATTTTCAAAAAACAAACAAGATGATTCAATCACCAAATACATTTAACAACAAAAATAAACAGTTTTTGACTGATTTTGCCACGACTCTTTCCTTTAATATTTTTGTTCTTTTCAAATAGCTGAAAAATTTGAACTGAGCAATGATT